ACGACTACTACGACGACGAGTACTACTACTACTGCTACTGCTACAGCTCCTGCTACTGCTACTGAAGAACTACTTCTTCTACGACTACGACGACGAATACTGCCTCTACTTCTACTACGAGTAGAGAAAATAGTACAAGTAGTACTTGTAGCACTCGTATTAGTAGTCGTCGTGGTCGCAATTGTCGTCGTCGTAGTTAGTAGTAGCAGTAGCAGGAGGAGGCGAAGCAGCAGCAGCAGCAGCAGCAGCATCCGCAACCGCAGCAGGATGCGGCGAAACTCATTTCACATCTGGTCTGGGCAAGCTTGTGCAGCATAGTTGGGCAGAAGGACCTCTGGAACCAGCCAATGCGAATTTGCATACTGGTGTGGATACGTACTGACACTTTATGAAAAATAAGATGTAGGCAAACTTGTTTCCCAGCCCAGCTGCCGGCGGGCACCGTTGCGGCGCGCGCGGGCAGTAGCCTCGAGCTCCAATATCTTGTCCTCAGGGTAGTAGAGTACCACACTTGGGGGGAAGGCAGAGCAACTGCTGTCCATTAATAAATCTATCACAGATCGAGCTCGGGTCTCGGGAAACTGGAGCTTTGCTTCCTGTTGGATCATGAAACTGGAGTCCATGGGCGAGGGCTTGGCTGTGGCTTTGAGGTAAAGGTCGTGAGGCTTCGGGTCGGCCCCTTTTTCCCTGGTGGCGAAATAACTCTGCAGTTGTGGGCCGTTGCCAAAAAGGCAGCCAGGGATGCCTGAGGTTATGCAGGGTGGTTCTTGTGCGAGGACGCGACGGGTATATGTTGCCAAATATCGCGGTCACACTTTGCGGATCGAGCACAATTGCGGATTTGGGGCTTCAGCTACCAATCACCCTGTAGCTTCGAGACTTCGAGTGTTGCGTGATTTGCGTACGGACATGCGGGCCAACCCGACCTCAAGCTCCGAAATGTTGCCATGCAAACCCGCGCCCAAGGCAGAGAGAGCACAGCAAAGCCTTCCAACACCCGCTCTCCGGCACCCCAAGTCGTCTCACTCCAAAGCACGGCATCGACCTGCAAGCTTCTCAACACAGTCCTCGCCATCCTGCTTCCCACGGCTCTGGCGATTGCCCAACATCCTGTTCTAGCTGATGGTCTCTGCCACGAGGCCTACAACTGACGTCCTCAAACCCGAAAGCACCTAGAACAGGTCCGTCTTTATCTATGGACGAGAGATAGAAACGCAGCAGGATCGCTGCAGGTTTGGCTTCGGTTGACCCAGTTGATCCCAACCCGTGTTCGAGCATCTGTTGTATGTCGACGGGGGGAGGGGCAGGCACGTAGGTCAAGGGAGGCCAAACCCAGGCAAAAAATGAACACGAAGGCAAGTGATGAGGTTAGTGTAGCAACGGAGATGCCCGAGATCGTCGATGATGTCGATGTGGACATGGATACTGACCAAGCCTTTGAGGCTGCCGATGACTGCAACGGTGGTGAGGACGAGGATGATGATGCTGGTGCGAGACGCAGTGACGACAAGGACAAGGAGGATGAGAATAAGTGGCTGAGGACGACAAAGCGGAGAAAGAAGAACAGGAAGAGGAGGAGTAGGAGCAGGAGCATAGATTCAAACAACTGTGAGCGTCAGAATGATGAGATCTGATGACGATACTGCTGTTGCAGCTGCTATTGACGGTGACCTGATGATGGTGATGATGCTGCTGGTGGCGGCTCTGATGACGTAGCTCGGGTCTTGGAGGTCCTGTCCAGACCCCCCCGCAGCCTGAATTTTGAAGCTATATAAGGACTGCATCCACGGCTCCACAATCGAATCTCATAAGCGTGGACCGCAAACCACAAAATGCAAATTCGAAAACCTCCCAGCTGAACCTAAACTACAGCTACTGGGATGCGCTCCTGTTCAGGAGTGGCCGGAGCACTTTCACCAGCGAGGAACTTTTCCTCGGGCTGGGACATTCGAAAGGCGAGACCCTGAATTTTCATATCCTTCCTGCTCCTGCTCGTCGGCAGCTTCCTCCTCTCTTTCTGTCGCTTACTGTTTTCTGTTTCAACTTCTATACGATTGGTGTCATGAGGAAACCTCGAGATGATGGTCTAAAACGGCTATATCGGCTATACTGCAGATACAATGCAGAAAAGCCATGTCTCAGCCGCTCGGACATCAAACGTACCGAGTCAGGAATGGATCGGCCCAGAAGGAACTGCACCATGTGGTTGCTCCTTGGTGTCGGACTTTGCCAGTTGAGATGGCGGACTGTGCAGGATGCCTAGCTACGCAAGGCCCTCAAACGGTCAGCACAATTCAAGTCGACAGTGAGGTATTGCACCAAAATGTGGGCTGAAGGCAATTCAGAAAGCCACCTGGGCCAAACACAATACCGCCAACTACGGACCCGATGCCTTTTAGTTGGTTAATATCAATCTGAGGCAGGTCATAACAGGCACGTAGGGCGTGGAGACTGGTGCCGAAGATAGCTGGGGCTCAGGTCGTTGCAGTTGTGGTCGAAAGCATCGTACAGATCAGGGCGGTAATCGAAGTAGACCCTTTTGATCTCGGCATTCAACTCCTGAAATACTTGGCAAGAAAGATGGCAGTAGTGGGGTCGCTCCGTGCAAACACATGGCATGGCCACCCTTTTCGACTACAACATCTATCCACTCTCTCCCTCTCCTCGACCGTACGCAGTGTGTAACCAAGTTGGACGCTCTTCCTGGGCTGCCCGAAAGCGCTCTGGCCAGGGTAGCAAGTGAGGATGTAGCCGAAAAAGTAGAGCTCCTGCCACGGGCCGCAAGTGCCGGTTGGAAACGCTGCCATGCTTCGATGCAATTTCCTCCCCTCCAGCGTCCGTCTTGTTGATCACGAGCCAACCTCTAGAGGCCTCACACTGCCTCACATCTTATCTGTGAGTAGACACTTTGAGTTGAGCTTGGGACCAGCCCGGCTTGCCTTGCCAGTAGCACTCCTCGAGATTAGATCCTTTGCTATATTCTGCTGATAACCACTGTTGCTTCACAACTACATGTAGAAAGACAGAGAGCGAGAGAGGGAGAGATGGCGACAGAGAGGCCTGCAAGTGTACATCATCGGCCTGCTCGTTCTCGATGCCCTAATTACTTATCTCGTTCTGAAGGCAGTATCACCGCTGTCCCTATCATTATCCGTATCCCGACGTCATATTCGTGTCAAAAAGCCCTAACCGCTTTATCGACATGGCTGCTATTCAGATCGTTGGCACGCTCGGCATCTTCGCCTGAGCCCTCGGTTTTCGAGTCTTTGGAGTAATGGAAAGATGTGCTCCTGCAAGATACCCTCACCCTTTGAAGGTCCTGACCGAAGACACCGACGCTGGTGTGCCAAATGCCATCCTCATACTGGCCAAGCAGGATGGGCGACAGAACTGAAGCAAAGCTCTTGGAGAGGTCGTAGTAGTACAGCTCCACTGGTCTGAAAGTCAAGCGCAGCACGTTCGCCACGAACTCAGCATATGTGATGCTGTCACTTCCTGTGGAGTTCATTACATCCAGTAGCTCAGCATCGCCACAAGGATTGATCGACAGCATCTGCCGCGTGACGATGCCTGGCTCTCAACGACCTCTCAAATCTAACACCTGAGCACCGAAACTATCCTAAACCAAAAGAGGGACCACAGGACACGAGGTGCCGCAGACCATCTCATCAGCCGATAGCCATGTATAGACAAGGGTAGACACGATGTCCGGGGTGTCCGAATCTCGGAGCTTCTGCGTGATAATTTCAGTGGCCACGGGGCCTGGTGGATGCATGTCGAGCAGCGCAGTGTGCAGCCACTCGTGTTTGTTGATCTTGCCATCCTGCTCTACATCCATGACGTCGAAAGCTCGCTGAACACTTCCCCCGATCAGCTCTTTTTCGGAGTCGCTCAGCGGGCGCTTGCACACCTCTGTAGCAGCAGCAAGCCAGTGAGAAGCGAGCTCGTCCATTGTGATGGCACCCGAGCCATCCGCGTCCAGCTCGCTGAACTTGGAGAGGATGTTCGTCAGCACCGAGTTAAGTGCTACTTGGTCACTGCTTAAGAAAACTTCCAAGCTGGATTCGCAGCTCTTGGGAAGGGTCAGGGGCAGTCGTTCATCTTCGAGAGCGGAGTCCCTGTTCAGTGTGATGGGCAGCTGGCACTCCTCTTCTTCGGAGTCCCGGGGCAGCTTCAGAAACAGCTCATCATCGTCATCGTCTTCCTGCCCATCCTCCTCGTCCATGGCCCCACAAATTCTACAAAGAGTCCCTCAAGGCGAACGCTTGGAGTTGGAGGTAGAGCTTTGTATGTATAGTCACCTTCTGGAACATTACATTTGGCAAAATGCTTTCGACACATGTCGTAGCAATCATATCGGCATGACGAGCACAACCGGGGGCCGCAACCTCTATTTAAGCCATCTGCCGCAAACGGAAGCTCTAACATCTCACAAGCAGAAAGAACTTCAAGCTGCCCCGTGTCGTCACCCGAATCGCTGTCAATCACTGAATTCACGAGCTCCGAAAGCAGGATCGGAAGCTGAACGATGATTCTGGGATTCTGGGCTAGTACTATGCTGCCCTGTGCTCACAAAACTCGTGCACGATCCCTCCCGACCTGTGGTGTGGGACACCAGGGACGTGCCCGCACGTGCGAACACGTCGCGGGGCAAAGGCCTTGGGTTTGACCGTTGGAAGCTTCGGGATCTACGATTCGGATGTCATGATAGTTGGCTCTGGACGGAATGTCAATCATACTCCTCAAGACTCGGAGAAGTGCATAGGAGATTTAGACGCAGTACCTCGGCCGGGAAAGGTGGAGTCTACTGGGCGGGAGGAAGATCTCCGGCCTCAGCAGGAAACTGTCGATTCTCTGAACTGCGAGCCAACTTGGGGGACTCGGGGCATGCTTTCCGCATGGGCATGGCAGTTCAGACATCTGCAAAGCTGGGCGATTTCATGTCTTCTCCTAGCAACAGTCAACAGCAGAAGAAAAAGGCAACTATATGCCTATTCTTTTCCTAGTGGTTGAGCCAGGATCGGAGCTTTCTAAGTTCTAATCAATTAATAATTAGGTAGCACGCAATCAAATTGCAACTATGGTCAGCGCTATCAACTTTCCGATCAAACTCACAATACTGCTGACCTGCCGAGCTGGGGTGGCTGGGCCGGGCTCCCAGCACAGTGGGCACAGAGTGCTGTGCACAGTCCAGCCGCGTACCTAGTCCAGCGGGTTCCGGGGGGGGGGGGGGGGGGGAGCGGCGCCAAAGTTTCGTACAACTATGGGGGATTGAACAGGAATCCGAGCCTTGCCGCAGTAGACGGCCAAGGGCCTTCAATATCCTGAAACCGCGGTGCAACGTCAGAAGTTCGCTCACATCCCTACGCCCTCAGAACCCACTGATTTCACGCAAGTGGCTCATCAATGGACCGCTGCGGCATTGCTTCCGGCTCTCGGCAAGGCGGCTCAGGTACCTGTGGAGGATGATTGAAACTTGGGATTTCTGGATCTCCTGCAGGAAACTTCTGGCCAAGGCTGGTGCTTAGGGTGGAGATTTCGACACATCGAGCCTGACTGCATCTTGAGGCCTGAAGAGTTTGCGGATTGGTGTGAGGTGCAGAAGGAACTACGTGGACTGCTGCGACACCTTCAAGCGTGGAAGACATTGCAAAGTAAACGCTGCTAAGTCTAAGTACGCCCATAGTCCTACTCCACAGCTGGCTCTAACACCAGAAAGCAGACGCCGTAGAATCTTAGAAGGTCACCGGGGTCCGATCCAGATGTCGGCCCTAAGTTGTAACACCCCCAAAGCAGAGAAAGGAGGGGCCTTGGAGGTCTGGCCTTGGAGTCCTTGGATTTGGGGCTTCACAGTGGGATTTTGCATGGATGTGTAAGGTAAGCGTGAAGTCCTGGATGCTGGGGAGGCGCACTCGCCTCTCGACCTGCAAACTCCCTCCCCGCAATGCGTCTGCCACGCATGTTTCACGCGCATGAATGCCCTGTATCCCTTCCGATTAAAGCAGGTCCTCTGGAAGGTACCTTGGCCTCCCCTATTGTCAACACAGTTTCAAGTTGACAGCTCAACATGTAGTCAGTTCCGTGTCGGCAAGCCTATCCATGCTTCATTTTCAACTACAAAGTCGGTACCTCTATCGACACACTGACTTCTCCATCTTTTTGTTGCAGACTGCTCTGCCAGGCTCTGCCATGATATGTCAGGAATCCTCGGTATGCAAAGACAGCAAGTAAGTGGCTCTGCAGCACTACGTACCTCGAACCGCCATTGCGAGTACGTCACTCCTCTATATCGGATCATATGCCTTTCTGTTTGAACCGACTCGCCGACCTCGCACCGATTCGCGACACGCTAAGCTCCTGAGCCACCCACAGGATCGCTGGCGGCGCCATGGTGCAATCCGAGATTCGAAGTCTCCTAAAGCTCCTACGACCTACGGCTCAAGCTTTCAACCCAGGCTACCAACGAACAGAAACTGAAACTTTGCCCTGGCAGAAACCGCATGGAACAAGACCAGAAGCACCTGCGAAACAGCGTGCTTTCAGGAATTTCGGCATGCCATCTCTGGCTTCTGAAACCCACATCTCATCACCACCTGCTTGGGCCCGAAAGCGCCGGCCATGTTCCCACAACTGAGAGACCGCATGGCAAAAGCCCACTCTGCATGAGTAGGTGCAGCAGAGGCATGTCACAGCACGAAGAAACTTAGCTGCTAATCCGGAACCATGGAAGGACACGTATCCAGAAAAGCTAAGCTCAACTCAAGCATACTCACGCAGTGTATCAATTGAATGTGACTATTGCTGTTTCTACGGTCATTACTGTTTGGATGATCGTTTCTTTCTGATTCTTGTCCTTCTTGGTGAACCAGAACATCTAATCTAAAAATGCTCCTCGGCTGTGGCAGCTGCTGCTGCTGCTTTTTCGCCTCTCCGCAGCTCTCGGCAGAAAGGGTCATCCTCCCTGCGCACACCACGGCAAAAAGACGATTGAGCATCGCTGGTTGGCGGTGCGTTTCAGAAAGATGCCATATGAGAAAGCTCCATGGCATGCTTCACATCAATTAACCATTAACCATACGAAGATACTTCGACTTCATCACACCATGACCACGAGAAGCAAGGCTAATTTCCTTCACAACCGTCATCAGCATCTATGACGAAGAGAGCTTAGGAAAAGAGCGGCAACGATGGCAATCAACTCAATGCAGTAGGCAACTACAAGACTCAACACTAGCAACGGCAGCAGTCGCTGCAGTCCTCGTCGCCATCGTCGTCGCAGAAGAGTGTAGGTAGCGCACAGAAGGTAGATAACAGAATAACGGAGGAGCTAACTTCGCAGCAATGTGGTGCACTAGCACGACCACTGGCACTACAGTGGCAGTAGCAGTAGCAGTGGCAGTGGCGTTAGCAGTGGCAGTGGCAGCGGGTGGGGCAGCAGCAGTGGTGGTGGCTGTATAGGAGGAACATGAAAAGTAGTAGTAGCATCAGGTAGCAGTAGTAATTATTATTATTATTAGTAGTAGTAGTAGCAGCAGGAGTAGTAGTAGTAGTAGTAGTAGTAGTAGTTGGTGGTAGTAGTAATAGTAGTAGTAGTAGTAGTAGTAGAAGTAGTAGTAGCAGTAGTAGTAGCACCAATAGTAGTAGCAGCAATAGTAGCAGCAGCAGCAGCAGCAGCAGCAGCAGTAGTAGTAGTAGTAGCA